TTTTTTTTTTTAATGATGCTGGGGATTGAACCCAGGGTCTTGTGCTTGCAAGGGAGCTACATTCCCAGCCTTGTATCTGCCCATTTTTAAACTTATTTTTTTTTTCACTTACATATAAGTACTAGTATGATCCTCAAATTACAGACAGATAAAATTAAGCTAAGTGAAATTAAAGAAATTGTGCTGGGAACGTGGCCTTGTGGTAGAGCACTTGCCTGGCATCCTGAAGTCCTGGAAATTCCCTACAAAATAAAGACAGAACTTGAAGAATTTGTCTGAGATTTCAAAGTAAACGTCAGCCAGGAATAATGGCACATGCCTGTAATCCCAGCAACGTGGAAGGCTGATGCAAGAGGATCACAAGTTCAAAGCCAGTCTCAGCAATTTAGTGAGACCCTATCTAAAAATTAAAAATAAAAAGGGCTCGGGAGGGCGGGGGTTGTGGCTCAGTAGTAGAGCCCTTGCCTAGCATGTGTGAGGCACAAGGTTGGATTCCCAGAACCACATATAAATAAATAAGTAAAATAAAAGAAAGGTCCATTAACAACTAAAAAGAAAGCTCTGTAGCTCAGTGGTAGAGCGCTTGCCTCTCACATGTGAGGCACTGGGTTCGATGCTCAGCACCACATAAAAATAAATTAATAGGGACTGGGGATATAGCTCAGGTGGTAGAGTGCTCGCCTAGAATGCACAAGGCCCTGGGTTCAATCCACATAAATAAATACATTAGTAAACAAAGATTGTGTCCATCTAAAACTAAAAAAAATATTTAAAAAACAAAAAGCAGGCTGGGGATGTGGCTAAGTGGTTAAGACCCCTGGAGTCAATCCCTGGTACTAAATAAATAAATAAAAATATATAAAAAGTCTGGGGATATAACTCAGTGGTAAAGTGCTCCTGGGTTCAATCCTCAGTATATAAAATAAAAGTAAATGTCAGAGCCACAGTTTGAGTGCAGGCCTTTTGGACTCTGAAACTCATCCTTTGGCGATTATTCTATGGTGCCTGACACAAATATACAATACAGCTTATACCGTCATTGTTATAGGATAATATAGTAAAGCACAAAATTATATGGTTCAGTTAGAAAATATTTAACTGCGCTGGGCACAGAGGTGCACTCCTATAATCCCAGCTACTTGGGAGGCTGAGACAGGAGGATTACAAGTTTGTGGCCAGTCTGGGCAATTTAGTGAGACCCTGTCTCAAATAAATAAATAGGAAAGGAAAACATTTAGCCAGGCATGGTGGTGCACTCCTCTAATCCCAGCTACTAAGGAGAATGAGGCAGGAAGATTACAATTTTTTTTGGTGGGGGGCATCCTGGGGACTGAAGTCAGGGGCACTCGGCCTCTAAGGCACATCCCCAGCCCTATTTTTTTTTTTTTTTGATAATTTTAATATTTTATTTTTTAGTTTTCGGCGGACACAACATCTTTGTTTGTATGTGGTGCTGAGGATCGAACCCGGGCCGCACTCATTCCAGGCGAGAGTGCTACGGCTTCAGCCACATCCCCAGCGCCCCCAGCCCTATTTTGTATTTTATTTAGAGTCAGGGTCTCACTGAGTTGCTTAGCAACTCGCTGTTGCTGAGGCTGGCTTCTTTTTTTTAATATTTATTTTTTAGTTATAGATGGACACAATATCTTTATTTTATTTTATGTGGTGCTGAGGATCAAACCCAGGGCCTCACACGTGCTAGGCAAGTACTCTACCGCTAAACCACAATCCCAGCCCCTGAGGCTGACTTTTGAACTCCTGATCCTCCTCCCTCAGCCTCCTGAGCCACTGGGATTGCAAGCGAGCACCACCGCGCCCGCAGAAGATTACAAATTTAAGACCAGTCTCCGTGTGGGCTGGAGATATATAGCTCAGTCGGTAGAGTGCTTGCCTTGCATGCATAAAACCCTGGGTTCGATCCTCAGCACTGCCAAAACAACAGCAACCAGTCTGAGCCTTTCTTAAAGTTAAAAACAAAAAAGACTGGGGATGTAGCTCAGTGTTAGAGCACCTCTGGGTTCCAGTGCCACAAAAAATACAAAGACCCTGCATCAGAAACTATTTAAATGAGGTTAACTATAAAAGGGATTAGAGAAGAGGAATATGCATATGAACTAGTCAGAAAATGTGATGTGAGAGCTTGAAATGAACTGGGCCTTGGAGAATAGATAAGAAGGGAACTAACATTAATATTCTCAGTCATGAACACGGCATGTACATTGCCTCATCTGATCCCACACATCCTGTGACAGAAGCTCTGTTCTCCCCATTTACCAAGGTGAAATAGAGACTCAAGAAGGTTCAATAATTCGTCCAAGTCCACACTTGTTGAGCTGAGACTCGAATCCAGATCTCACTGGTTAGAGAGAAGAAGCAGGCGCAGACGGGATACTGGACAAGCAGGACCTTGTGAAAGGGGTAGTAAGTAAATAGCCTGGCAACTGACCTTCCATCCTCTGAGGGCGGGACTTCCTAGGCAGCTCCGCCCACTGCAGAGCATTGCAACAGTGGGGTGGGGTAGGGGTTCTGAGGTTCCTGGAAGGTGACTGAAGCCCACAAGATTGGCACTGTGCCCACTGGGTGGCTAGCACTAATCCCACCCGACAATGCCAGGATGGAGGAGCTGTGCCCTAAGGGCTCATTCCTGGAAGTCTAGCCACCAGCTCCATGCCTCCTAGTAACAAGTGGTTTCAGCCCTGTACAAAGCATCTCACCACCAGAGGCTGGCCTCCAGATAAGGTGTTCTCAATTCCTCAAACCCCAGAAGACTCTTGCCTCCAGGTACCTAAGCATTCATCTCCTAATAGTAACAGGACTCTCTGTATTTCTATTTCATTTTATGGGGTGCTGGGTATTGAACGTATGTCCTTGCACATGCTAGGTAAGCACTCTACTACTGACCTACATTCCCAGCTGTCTATCTAGATTTATAATTAAGCCTCAGGGTTTATTATCTAGGATATTCTAGATTCTTTTTTTTTTTTTTTGGTACCAGATATTGAACCCAGGAGTGCTTAACAACTGAGCCACATCCCCAGCCCTATTTTTATATTTTATTTAGAGATGGGATCTTAATGAGTTGCTTAGGGCCTTGCTAAGTCACCGAGGCTGGTTTTGAACTCATCATCCTTCTGCCTCAGGCTCCTGAGTTGCTGGGATTACAGGTGTGTGCCACTGCACCCAGCTAGATTCTTCTATGTTGCTGGGTATAGATGCCAGGGTTTAGGAAGCTTGGTCCTATACAACTCCCTTTTGGCCTGAGAGTGGAGCTCAGTCTTCCTTACCTCCTGAGTCAATCCTCCAAGAGTTCTTATCAAAGGAAAGAAACCTCCTCAAAGACTTTTTTTTTCTTTCGTACTAGGAATTGAACCCAGGGACACTTAACCACTGAGTCATATCCCCAGCCCTTTTTATTTTTTTAAACAGGGTTTTACTAAATTGCCTCACTAAATTGCTGAGGCTGGCCTTGAACTTTTAATTCTCCTGCCTCAGCCTCCCGAGCTGCTGGGATTATGGGAGTGCACCACCACACCTGGCTCCTCAAAAGACTTAAAAAAAAAAAACAAAAAAAAACTATCCTTACCCAAACTGGAACACAAGGAAAAACTGAGTGGATGGCTCATGAGATCTGGCTTCACCATCTGGGCCTCAGTTTATACCATTCCCCTTTCTTTAGTCAAAAGGGCCTCACTATTCCCTGGTCCCAGTCCTTCACCACCTCCCCCATCCGGGGTAACCGCCCGACTCTGTTGCCTAGGATAACGCCCAGCCCTCCCCTTACCCCCTGTGGCTGCCTCCCCTTTCCGTCTGTTGAGAGAGGAAGCCAGGGGGTGGCAAGTGCAACCCTGTGGGGCACTGATAAAGGGCCAGTGCTATCCCCGCCCTCTGGGGCCACTGCGGTCAGACCAGTAGGCAAGCAGGCAGGGCAGCCAGCTCCCTCTGGGACCCATGGCCCTCCCCTGGTTCCACCTCTACCCACCCCGCCCATCTCTTCTCGGGAAGCTGGTTGCATAAGCCAGTGGGGTGTTTGGCAACATTACTTGTGGCTTGACCTGATGCTGATGGTGGTGTGCACACACATTGTAGGGGTGATGGTGGGGGTGGGTTGACCAGGGGTGGCAACAGTTTAACCTTTTAGGGGTTGGTGAGCAGCATAGGTGCAGAATGATAGGACAGGAAAGCTATGTAGCCACCTTTTTCTCTGTATTCGTCTCTGCTACGTTTGTTGAAGTGGAATAATTTGGGGATAGGAAAGTGTTAGGCATCGCTGCCTTGCTGAGCTACAGGCACTAACAACCCAGTCAGGCCAGCACTCACCTAAGGCTTTGCAAATTGTAAACTGAGCCAAGGAGACTTAAAGTAGAAGGGTCTCACCTTTGGACTTTAGGAATCTGAGAGGAGGGGGCTAAAGGACTGATTCCTTCCCCCTGAGGTCTGGAAAGGGTGCTGGGGATTCAGGACACAGTATGGGAAGCATACTTCCCTTGTAGGAGGGGACTTACGAGAAGTGGGAGAGTGTCTTGCCTAAATGAAGGCTGTCTGCTCTTAGCTCACCTTTGTGACCATCTCTGTCCCTACAAGTAAGTAGTAAAGGACTCCAAACACTTCCACGAGTCCCTCTTGCTGCTGGGTGTGGTTCATGTCTGTAATCCCAGTAATTGCAGAGGCTAAGGCTGGAAGAGCACAGGTTCAAGGCCAATCTCATCAACCTACCAAGACTCTTAGCAACTTAGTGAGACCATCAGCAACTTAGCAAGACCCTGTCTCAAAATAAAAAACAAAAGAGCTGGGGATGTAGCTTAGTGTTAAAGTGTCCCTGGATTTTATTAAAAAAAAAAAAAAATTCCCTGGGAGGCTGAGGCAGGAGGATTCTAAGTTCAAAGCCAGACTCAGCAACTTAGTGAGACCTGATCTCAAAATTAAACATTATATATATATATATATATATATATATATATATATATATATAGAGAGAGAGAGAGAGAGAGAGAGAGAGAGAGAGAGTGCCCCTGGATTCAATCCCTAGTAGAAAAAAGAAAAAAAAAATCCCTATTGCTTATAGAGTAGAATATACTCTCCATATCTTGACTTTCAAGACACTTTACAATTCAGCCCCAGTTAAAAATTTCCAGGCTTATCTTCCTTCTTCCTTTCTTCTTTCTTTCTCTTTCTCTCTCTCTCTCTCTCTTTCTCTCTCTCTCTTTCTTTCTTCTTTTGCAATGCTAGGGATATGGAACTCAGGCCCTCACACACCTCCTCTTTTCCAGAGCCTCCTTCAATTGTCAACCTCATCTGTAAAGCCTTTCATGATTTTCACCAGGCAGAATTGATTTTCCTCATCTAATCCACAGCATTTTAGAAAGACCTCTATTAATATAACTCCTCAACTACACTGTGAGGATATAGGCCATGTCTTATTCATCTTTGTGTTTCTGGAATGTAAAACATAGTAGACAGTAAATATTTGTTAAAGGATTGAATGAATGATAAAGGTTGTGTTATCTATAGTTGTATCTGCAATGCAGTGTCCGAAACTGGTAGTTCTCATTCAATAAATGTTTGTGGACTATCTGTAAACTGATATCATCGGATAATCAGCCACAAGCATGACTGTCACCACTTCTCATCCCCTGTGAGGGGTCCAAGTAAGTATGCAATTGAGGGAGCTGTACCTGAGTGCCCATGTATGTGACCTGCCAGATTCATGCCCAGGTCAAGAGATTCTGAGCCCACATGTAATATTTAATGAAGTCATTGGATTGCCGTTTGCCCTACACAAATCATGCATGCACAGTCATGATCTGCTGGGATACAGACGGAATTCAAAGCACTTAGCTATGGGTTTGGCATGGGCATTGATTAATCCCAGCAAGGCAAGCTTACTCAGGAGGCTTCTTGCGGTATCAACACTACTCTCTTCTTGCTTGGTTATATTGCTGGGTTGTGGGGATCTTAGGAAAGAACTGGGATGGCTACATTGAGGTGCAGTGGTGAAGGAACACTTGGAGGGCTCACAGCAGCTGTTGTTTATCAACTGGGACAGAATAATTTTCCATTATTTTAATGGTGAACCCAATCTTATCAGAATGTGTTGGCTGAATGCCAGCTCTACCTTGGGGTAGCACCTGGTTCCTCAGTCTTTAAATGTTTCCAATTTGGGCCGGGGATGTGGCTGAAGCCGTAGCGCTCTCACCTGGAATGCGTTTGGCCCGGGTTCGATCCTCAGCACCACATACAAACAAAGATGTTGTGTCCACCGAAAACTGAAAAATAAATATTAAAAAATTCTGTCTCTCTCTCTCTCTTAAAAAAAAAAATGTTTCCAATTTAACTTGAACATCATGAAAAAAAAAATAGAGGAAAAGTGGCTGAGTTTGGTGGCTCATGATTGTAATCCCAGAGGGTCTGGAGGCTGAGGGAGGAGAATTCCAAGTTCAAAGCCAGTCTCAGGGGCTGGGGATGTGGCTCAAGCCGTAGCGCGCTCGCCTGGCATGCGTGCGGCCCGGGTTCGATCCTGGGTTCGATCCTGGGTTCGATCCTCAGCACCACATACAAACAAAGATGTTGTGTCTGTTGATAACTAAAAAATAAAATATTAAAAATTCTCTCTCCCTCTCTCTTAAAAAAAAAAAAAAAGCCAGTCTCAGCAATTTAGCAAGGCCCTAAGCAACTTAGCAAGACCCTGTTTCAAAATAAAAATAAAAATGGCTAGGGATATGGCTCAGTGGTTAAGCACCCTGAGTTCAATCACTGGACAAAAAAAAAAAAAAAAAAGTGTGTGAGCTGCAACTCTAAGTATTGAAGTACTGCAGCTAGACATAAAGGACTTTCCTTATGGCTGAAAATTACTAAAAACTGGGAGGAAGAAAGATTTCTCCTACTCTCTAGAGAGAGATCTGTTTAGTCTGGGTCTTGGATCAAACTCTTGGAGACAAAAGGATGAATGAGAGACACTTCTAGGGGTACAGGTAGGCCTGATGCAGAGCTGCTTGGAGATGAATCTGATAACCTGCACATGTGTCCTGGCTTGTCCAGGGTATGTGGCTGCCATGTGGCTTGGGTACCTTGCCTGGAAGAAAGGAAGCAGAGGCAGGCAGGGGTCTCCTTTTTGGGAGGTGAATAATCCCCTTACTGGGCAGCCCCCAACCCAAGTCTCCGAACACACTGACAAAACAAAGCAAAGCAAAACAAAACAAAAAACCTGGCCAAGAAAGAAGCCTTTGTCCTGGGACATCTGAGGCTGAGGGGGAAAGGGAGAAGTCTAAAGGTGAAAGGACACATCAAAGCAGCCAGCAGCCCCTCCTCCCCCAAGTAGGTCCCTAACCGTGTTCTCAGGGCCTAGGTGTTCCTTAGAGGGAGGCTGTACCCTAAATGCCCACCTGCCTATACAACTGGGAAGCTAGACAGCTGGTCCTTACCTTTAGCAGCCCTTCACCTTGCTATGACTCAGTTTCCCTGTCGCTAAGAAAGCCACGGGGACAGAGGAAGGAGGTTCCAACCTGCATACAGTTTAGAGGTCACTCTTGAGTGGACCATCAGGTTGGAATTCATCATATGCATGGGAGAAACGCAGACCTGGCTGGACTCCTGGGTGAAAAGGAGGGCTGGGAGAGGCTTGGAGCCCTGCGTGCCCCCGCTGGCCGGGAGTAAGGCGGGGGCGGGGTGTGGGCAGAAACCACACCGGGCTCAAGTTTCCTCTCTTGGCCAGAAGGGGCAGGAGGAGAGGAGGGCCACGGGGAAAAGGGGAGGGTTGGAGGAAGGACTGAGAACTCAGACCGAGGGCTTCAGAGACCAGTCCGGTGCTCCAGCCAGCTTCAGGACTCTGCGCTCAGCGGGTTGGAGCCTCCACACTCAGCGCCCAGAAATGGCCCAGGGGCGGGGCGCGGCCCTGGCCGGTTCTCAGAGGTAACAGGGATCCTCGCCCAGGAGGTGTCAGCTCTGACCTAGCCTCCCCAGAGCCAACACCCGGAGCCTCACCTCTCGCCTCATCCTGCTTGGATTCTGCCACAGGTGCCTGAAAGGTGGGGTGGGGGAGGGGAGCGATCCTAGGAGGACCCACGGGTCACGCTGGGGAGGTGGAGGAGGTGGAGGGAGAAAATAACCAACTTTCAGTACGGTTCTAGGAGATCTTCCCAGACTGCCCCTGGTTTAGGAATTTGACATCTTTGGGAACTCCTCTGGGAGAAGATCTAGATGGCTTCTTAGGTGTTCTGGGATCCTTCCCATGGGAGGTTGTGGGTGCCGACCACCTGAGGCGCTCCTGAGGGACTGAAGAGTAGCCAGAAGGAACCTTTCACTGGTGGGCTGTCCTGGGGGAACCCAAAGACTCCCAGGTGTTATGGTAACACCATTTCATTCTGCTGCATTGTCCAGCGCGCTGGGAAGATTGTGGGGAATCGCGGGATTGGAGACCCTGGATGTCTGGACTTCTGAGAAGTGTTGCTTCAGCAAGATGTGTTGGTTGGGTGAAGAGTGCTGGGATTTTGCCTCTCATTGTCCCTTCTCTTGTATGGGCCCCGTGGCAGTCGGGATCAGCTGGCACTGCAACAGAGAGGAAGGCATCCCAACCACAGTGTCGTTCCTTCCATCTGGAACTTGGCTACTGGGGAAATGGGGATGCGGTGGAAGAGAATGGGGATGGTATCTGATCTGCTGAGGTCCGGAGTCTCTAGTCATAGGTGTCAGAAGATTGGAATTTGGGGTCTAGGGATAGAATGACAGGATAGCAGAAACCTGTCCCCCCCTTTCCCTTGTTCCCATACACATGTTTGAGTCATATATGTCCCCAGAGGACTGCACTCACTCTGCTCAAATCTCTTTCTTCCCTTTTCCTTCACACAAGTACTTTCTCTGTCTTGCCTCTGTGTGCTTCTCCCTCTTTGGAAGTTCTTCCTAATCTTTTTAACTAAGTTGGTTACCTGATAACCCACACTCCAAATTTTATTGATCTTTCCCCTGTATTGACACCTGGAGAAGTGGAAGTAGTCTAATAAGCCTGAGAACTGGGACACTGGGGCAAGCCCCCTCTCTATCATACTCCTTTGTCAAGGAAGTTAAGAGCCTTGGACAGTGGTGGGGGCCAAATGTCCTCCTGCCACCAGCATCCTTCTCCAAATGATCCTGTATCCCTAAGCATAAAGCTCTGTTTCATTCTGTGAGCACTTCGGGATTGTGATAAGATCTTCCTGGAGATCTGGGGATATAGCTGAGTGGTAGAGCACTTACTTAACATGTACAAGAACTTGGGTTCAATTCCCAACACTGCCAAAAAAAAAAAAAATCCTTCTGACTGACACCATCTGGGTGAATAAGGAGGATGGATTTTCGTCCCTGATAGTGACTCCATTTCTACCTGATCCATAATGTTGAGAAATAAGAGAAGGAATGAAGTAAAGTGGTTGTGTGATGTCAAGATTTAGAGATGCTAATTACAAAGAAAAGGGACATAGGGAAGTCCACTCTACTTCTTTTTTTTTTTTTTGTGGTACTGGGGATTGAACCCAGGGCTTTGCGCGTGTGAGGCAAGCCCTCTACCAACTGAGCTATGTCCCTAGCCCCATTTTTTTTTTTCCTTTTTTAGTACTGGGGATTGAACCCAGGAGCACTAAACCACTGAGCCACATCCCCAGCCCTTTTTTATATTTTATTTAGAGATAGGGCCTTTTTTTTTTTTTTTTTTAATACAGGAGATTGAACCTAGGGGCACTCGACCACTAAGCCACATACCTAGTCTTATTTTGTATTTTATTTAGAGACAGGGTCTCACTGAGTTGCTTAGCACCTTGCTTTTTGCTGAGGCTGGCTTTGAACTCGCAATCCTCCTGTCTCAGCCTCCTGAGCTCCTCAGATTATAGGCTTGTGCCAGCACACCCAGCTGTTTCTGCATTCTTTATGGCCGTTCTGTCTGATTCATTTCTGATTACATCCTCCTTAGTGATCTAGCCACTGGCTGCCAACTTGCTGGTCCTCTGAAAGGTAGGCTTCTAGAACCCCCCAAACTTTACTTCACTTTCACTTGTTATAAAGACCATCATTCATTCTTGAGTTTTGGAGAACATCAAGCTCTTACTTCCCCTGCAGCCTGGTGCATCCTTGCTGCTGCACCAGACAGCTGGCTCAAGCTGGCCCAGAGATCTCAACTCCTTCTCTCTCAGCCTCCTGCCTCTCCCTGCTCTTCTTCCATGTTCTCATTTTCCTATTACAGCAAGAAGGGGAAGACCGAGTTCCAGGTCTTCATCAGAAAGGGCTGATTTTAGCCAGTGTGGTGGTGCATGCCTGTAATCCCAGCTGTTCAAGAGCCTGAGGAAAGAGGATGACAGGTTTGAGGCCAGCCTTGGAAACTTAGCAAGACCCTGTCTCACAACAGAATAAAACAAAGGCTCATGACATCTAGGCTCAGAGATGAACTGCCTAGATCAAGGTTTTTTTGTTTTTTTTTTTTTGGTAGGGAGGGTACTGGGGTTTGAGCTCAGGATCACTTGACCTCTGAGCCACATCCCTGGCCCTATTTTTTGGATTTTATTTAGAGACACAGTCTCACTGAGTTGTTTAATATCTTGCTTTTTGCCTGAGGCTGGCTTTGAACTCTCATGGGATTACAGAAATGCACCCCCACCCCCAGCCCAGCCTAGATCAAGGTTTTGAAGCTGGAAGAAATCTAGAGAAGAACATTTGCTGATCTCCTTTCTGGTTTTCTGTTCTTTCCTGTAAATCCATACAGATGGATTATTTTAGTGTTTCTCATGGTGAAATTGGGCTGTTGCATGAGAATCATCAGGCACTTGTTAAAATGCTGGTTCTTAGTTCCTATGCTATGAATTTAACCCAGCAGGTCTGCAGCAGCTTTCTGGAATCTTGTTTTTTACACGTATCCCAGGTGAATGTGGTACACAAAGGTTGTGACTCCCAGAGCTAGATGTAATCTATTTCCTCTCAGCAATAAGTTTCTTCAGTCCTGTCTCCATTTGATGGAAGAGACTGAATGTGAAGTAATTTGCCCAAGGTCCTGCATCTTGAAGGCTAGAGAACCTGGTCTCCTGCCTCCTAGAGCAGAATCTTTGTATTGCACCTTTGGCTCAGATCCAGGAAGACAGGAGAGACAAAGAGGGGTGAGGTGGGTGAAGAACTGTGAAGCAAGAATCATTGTCCCTGCCCTCCAAGCCCCCTTCTCCATTCACTTTGCCTTTGGGCAATTTCCGCCAAACCTGGGTGGGGGAGGGTGGGTTTCCGGTGTTGAAATGGCATCCTGGACAGACATAAACACCCCACCCACTCTGCCCACTGGCCAAGGGCCTGTGCCTACATGGACTCCCAGCTCTGGGGATGGCAGTATAATAAGGGGGTGGAGACAGGACTCAGGGAGATCCTCTTTCAAAAGAATAATTTGTACTTTCCACCAATTTTATAGTTAAGTCCAAGGGTAAATTCCTTATTAAATAGTTGTGATGGTCAATCCTTGTGGTGGGTGGATGAGGTTAACCAGTCCTATCCTCTGTCCTATAAATTTCCTTTACTCTAGCCTGCTTCTCTTCTATGTGGCGGTGGTTGTAATGGTGGTGGTGTATAAACCTAGGCATGCCGTGTCTGGCCTCAGAGATCAGAAATCCCCTGCTAAATCTACTTCTCTTGCTGAAGTCAAGGAGAACAGATGCAGTGTCAGGGAATAGGAAGGTAGGACCAGGAAAGGGACTGACAGAGAGAAGACAAACAGAGATAAGGGTTTTCTGAGGATTTTAAGCTGTCAAGCAGAAAGGGACCTCCAAGTTCAACTTGTCTAACTTCTTAGTTTTATAAATGAGAAAAGAACAGGCTCTGGATAGGAGTGTAGTACTCAAAGGTCTAAAGAGGTATTCCCCAGCAGGGCATGGTGGTGCACACCTGTAATCCCAGCGATACAGGAGGATGAGGCAGGAGGATCGCAAGTTTGAAGCCAGCCTCAGCAATTTATCAAGGCCCTAAGCAACTTAATGAGATCCTGTCTCAAAAAAAAAAAAAAAGGCCTGGGGATGTAGTTCAGTGGTAAAGTGCTCCTGGGTTCAATTTTCAACTCCTGGTACAGGGAAAAAGAGAGAGAGAGAGAGAGAGAGAGAGAGAGAGAGAGAGAGAGAGAGAGAGAGAGATATTGCCCAGAAGAGAAAAGGGACTGAGACACCACAGAAAGAACTGACTGAAGTAGACTGCCAATAGAGGCCCAGAGTATGAAGACCCAGAAATGATACTGGGAGGCCTTATGGATGAGCAGAGTCAGGTTCCAGATCATATCCTGCCATTTTTCAGCTTGGATCAAAGACCTTATAGGATCTGTGGAAATCTTTTCTTTTTCTTTTTTTTTACTTGGGATTGAGCCCAGGGGCTCTTTAACACTGAGCCACACCCCCAGCCCTTAATATTTTATTTTCAGACAGAGTTTTGCTAAGTTGTTGATGATCTTCTTGCTTCAGCTTCCCTAGTCACTGGGATTTCAGGTGTGTGCTACTGCATCTAACTGTGAAAATCAATCTTATAAACTAATAATGCTTGTAAAGCACTGGAACAGTTCTTTTTCTTTTCTCTCTCTCTCTCTCTCTCTCTCTCTCTCTCTCTCTCTCTCTCTCGTTGAGACAGGGTTTTGCCCAGTTACTAATGGTCTCACTAGGATGACGAGGCTTGCCTTGAACTTGTGATCCTCCTGCTTTAGCCTCCCAAGTTGCTAGGATTAAGTGAGTGTACCACTATGCTTGGCTTAGGACAGTTTTGACAAGGACTTAATAAGTCTTTGCTGTGGTTGTCATATTACCTCGGAAGAGGAAAGACCCCTATTTATGTGAGTTAGGGTATGGCCAAAATGACCCTATGGGGACACAGGGAAGAGGTCCAGGGTCTCTAGAACCCATTCCTTTTTTGCCTCTGCTGCCTGCGGCTGATAAACCTCTTATCTGGCCCAGGCAGGGGAGCCCAGGGTCAGGATAGGAGGAGAGGGCAGGGCTGCTATCAGCCACCAGGCCTGGGCCCTATCAGAGAAGGGGAGGGGCTGTCTGCACTTCCCAAACACTCCTTGGGGATCCCCCACTTACTCTCAGGAAGAAAAGACTGAGACCCAAAAACTGAAGACACAGGAGGAAAGCTGGGGTGACTCCTGATATTTCTTCCCAAGATGGAAAACCAAACCAAATTTAAGAAGTTCAGAAGATCTGACCCTGTCTCTGGCCAGGAATATAATTTTGGAGAGTGAGAAGTAGGGCAAGGAGAAAGCACCTTGTTTGAAAAAAAGGTAAAAGTTTACTGCGCTCCTCCTAAGGGAACTGCCATGGCCATGGTAGCTGCGATGGAGACCACATCACACAAAAGGACCTTCCAGTTTAAGAGTCCAACATGAGTGCGCCGGCAAGGTCTCCCTCCCCTCAGGTGAAGCTGGAGGGAGCCCAGAGGCAGGACAAACTTGCCAGGCCTAGCAGAAGCTGCTCTAATGCCTTTCTTCCTTCCATACAGGTTGTGGAGGCCCTTCGGGCTTTGGGGGACCCTGGCCCAGATCCTGGCCCAGTAGGATGCCCCCGTGTCCTCCCCAGCAGAGCAGGAACAGGGTGACACAGCTGCCTACTGTAGAGCTGGGCGAGATGGAACTGACTTGGCAAGAGATCATGTCCATTGCTGAGCTGCAGGTGCGCAGGAGGGGAGGACTGGCGCAGGGGTGGGAGGAGCAGATCTCGGGCTGCCAGTGTTGCCAACAGTGGAAAAGAAATGCTGGGGGGTGTGCATGGAAACATCTGGGGACAATGGGGAGATGGGAGCGTGGATGGCTGGGGAAGGAGTGGTGGGGAGGGAAGGGTCTGATTAGGGTAGAGGCCCCTCTCAGAAACTGCCTGCTCGCCTCTCTACCCTACCTCCTTTTCTGCCCTCCCTTTCTCACCTTCTCTTTTGACCTCACTGTCCTCCAATCCTGCTCATCTTCTTCCCTTATTTCCTCCCCCTGCCCTTAGCAACGGGGCCCCTTTCCCCCAGGTAGCAGAGCAGTAGTTCAGGGGCCTTAGGAAGGGGAGTCACACTATGCCGGGGTCCTCTCCTCCTACAAGTTGGACAAAGGGGTGTCTGTTGGCCTAACAATGATGCCTTTGTCCCCAGCTGGGTTGGAGCAAGGTGGCTCCCCTACGTGGGTTGGGGGCCTTGTTTCCAGCATGTTCTCTCCTCGCTGCACCTGGGCAGGGACAGAAGGACTGAAGAGTTAGAGGGTAGAGCTTGTGCAGGTTCCCCAAGGTGCTTCTTAGCCTCCAGGCCTGGCTCTGTGCCTGTCTCCAGTCACTGGCCCTGACACCTTCAGGATCTGCCCTAGGCCCTCCTTCCACACAACAGCTCCCTCTGCTGGCACCCAGGGCATGGCCAGGGACTGAACTTGACCCTTTGTCCCTAGATTACCACAGCAGGAAGGGGTTCTGAGGGGTCATCTTGGCTAACAATACCTTGCCTTCCTGAAGGAAATAATGGAGCAGGAGCTATTTTAATACAGTAAGAGCTTCTCTTGAGGAGGAGGTTCTGTAATTGTTCTAACATTAGGTGGTCTTCTCTGAAGTCTGATCCCAGTGACCTCTATTCTTGCTTATGCTGCTTTCTTCTTGGAATGGTTGCATCTCCACTTTGCAAGAAGCTTCCAATTTTGTGCACATCTTTCCTCATTGGGTCTTTGGAAGGACTGTGATAGAGCTGGTTTCTTCTTTTTCTTCTTCTTCTTCTTTTTTTTTTTTTTTTTTGGTGCTGGGGATTGAACCCAGGGTTTTGTGCATGTGAGGCAAGCACTCTACCAACTGAGCTATATCCCCAGATTTCTTTTTAAAAATATTTTTTAGTTGTCAATGGACCTTTTTTAAAAAATTTTTTTTCAGTTGTAGATGGACACAAGACCTTTGTTAATATTTTTATGTGGTGCCGGGATCGAACCCAGTGCCTCACACATGCTAGGCAAGTGCTCTACCACTGAGCCACAATCCCAGCCCCAGGGCTGGCTTCACTTTGGTAGCCTGTCTCCAAACTCTTTTCTCTTTCCTTGCAGGGTCTAAATGCTCCAAGTGAGCCATCCTTTGAGCTCCAAGCCCAGGCCCCATACCCTGGACCTCCACCACCCCCAACCTACTGTCCCTGTTCAATCCACCCAGATCCAGGTTTTCCACTTCCTCCACCACCTTATGAGCTCCCAGCATCTGTGACTCATGTTCCAGAAGACCCCCCATACTCCTATGGCAACATGGCCATTCCAGTCTCTAAGCCACTGACCCTTTCAGGCTTGCTCAGTGAGCCCCTCCCAGACCCCTTAACCCTTCTAGACATTGGGCTGCCAGCGGGGCCACCCAAGCCCCAAGAGGACCCAGAATCAGACTCAGGATTATCCCTCAACTACAGTGATGCTGAATCTCTTGAGCTGGAGGGGACAGAGGCTGGCCGGCGGCGGAATGAGTGTGTAGAGATGTATCCAGTGGAGTACCCTTACTCACTTATGTCCAACTCTATGGCCCACCCCAACTATGCCTTGCCCTCTGCTGAGACCCCCATGGCCTTAGAGCCCTCCTCAGGCCTGGTGCGCACTAAGCCTACTGCACGGGGTGAGGCAGGAAGTCGGGATGAGCGTCGGGCTCTGGCCATGAAGATTCCCTTTCCTACAGACAAGATTGTCAACTTGCCGGTAGATGACTTTAATGAGCTGTTGGCACGGTATCCGTTGACTGAAAGCCAGCTGGCACTAGTTCGGGACATCCGACGTCGGGGCAAGAACAAGGTGGCTGCCCAGAACTGTCGTAAGAGAAAGCTGGAAACCATTGTGCAGTTGGAACGAGAGCTGGAACGGCTGGGCAATGAAAGGGAGAGGCTTCTCAGGGCCCGGGGAGAGGCAGACCGTACCCTAGAGGTCATGCGCCAACAGCTGGCAGAGCTGTATTGTGACATTTTCCAGCACCTTCGGGATGAATCTGGCAACAGCTACTCCCCTGATGAGTATGCTCTGCAACAGGCTGCAGATGGGACCATCTTCCTGGTGCCCCGGGGAACCAAGATGGAGGCTACAGATTGAACTGGCTCAGAGAAGGGGACTGATAAAGGGAACCTTGAGATCCAGAAGACACTGAGTTCATTAGAACTAAAGAAGGGGGAACCCTGGCATTTGGAAGCTACAAGTTGTGTTTGAAGAGGTTTGCCTTGCCTGGGGATGCAGCTGTGGAAGATGATTTGTTTGCTTGCATAGCATGCTTAGCAAGTACAAAACCCTGGGTTTAATCTTCTGCACTGCAAACAAACAAACAAAAACAGGGGGTGGGGGGGGTTTGAGGGTGGGGAAGGAGCTTAGCTTCTCAGGCCTCCAACCTCCACCTCTAGACTTTGGTCTATAAAAAGTTCTGCAGAAATAGCTTTCCACCGTTTTCTTTCTTGAGGGACCTGGGTACTCCCTATGACACTGCTTGTTGGGGTGGGGAGGGAAGCCTAGGTATTTATCTACCTTCATCCCCCTTTAAGAGACAGGGATAATGGATGATCTGAGGAACCCGTCTCTCTCTGAAGACCCATTAATAAAGTTGGGAAAGGTGCCAAAACTGGATGGGCCCTCCATGCAAGGTTCCTGATGTTTAGATACTGGGGATTTAATCCAGGGGTGCTTTACACCCCCATCCCTAGTCCTTTTTATTTATTTTTGAGAGGCTCTCACTAAATTGCTGAGGCTAGCCTTGAATTTGCAATCCTCCAAATTGCTGGGATTACAGGTGTGTGCCACCAAGACCTGTTTAATTAGATCTCTCTTCTCTCTACCTGTGGAGCACAAAAAAGCCCACAGGCTTTTTTCTTTCTGCTTCTCAGCTTTGGTCATGATGTGCCAGAGCTCTCAGAAAACTGAGTGAACTATTGTTCTTGATTGGAATGAATTCAATTACATACCAAAGTTTCAGAGCATTTCATACCCAAGCACTGGTAAAACCTAGTCTAAAGTGAAGTAAAATGTGCACTCTCATAAAATCTTTGGACATATTAGATAATTACTACTCAATTCTTGTTTTGGGGCCTGGGCCCTCTTCAAGATCTTGAAAATCTTTTATTAGCCTTGTCTCACAAAACTCCAGGATATAATAAACTAAGTTTTAGATTTTTTAGTCACATCAAAGTTTAATCAAACGCTTTAACATCATATAATCTTTTCGCTTGGGGTTTGGTGCCTCTCTATCTCCTCCATCACTGAATCATATCACTTCCCTTCTGCAGTGTTTTACCTCCATCCTACCATACCATTTTACAAACTCCATCCCAACAGGGAAAACACACTTCCAGTAGAACCCCAATGCTTACAGATTCTGAAACACATGGTCTCTAGCCTAGGTTTAAGGAATAAAAGCCTAAAGCTTCTTTGCACCCCACCACTGCTAAGGGTGGCTTTGAACTTGTGATCCTCCTGTCTCAGCCTGCCCAGCTGCTGGGATTACAGGCATGCACCACACCTGACCCACCTTTTTTGTCAGGGGAAGGGTACTGGGTATTGAACTCGGGGCCACTTAATCACTGAGCTAGACTCAGACCTATTTGTATTTTACTTAGAGACAGGGTCTCACCGAGTCACTTAGTGCTTCACTTTTGCTGGGGCTGGCTTTGAACTTGAAATTCTCTTGCCTCAGCATCCTGAGCTGGTGGATTACACTTTTGTGCCAAATAGGCTCCATGCCTCCTATTTCTAACAGGTTTGAAGATATTCCCACATTTCAAGTTGTAAAGAGCAGGGCCTTAGACTAGCTGCTTAGAAAAAGCCTTCTTCCCATGATCACATTCTAATGGGGGAAGGCAATAGTGTACTTTTTTTGATACATGGTAATCTGCAAAAGCTGGAAGTTATCTGGAAAAAGTTGGAAGTGATCCAAGTGGTTATAGGAACTTGAATAAGATATCAAATCTATTTCCTCATGTGAAAAGTATGGAATTTGCCAGGTGTGGTGGTACACACACCTGTAGTCCCAGCAGTTCTAGAGGCTAAGGCAGAATATTGAATTTAAAGACAGCCTCAGCAACTCAGTGAGGCCCTAAGCAACTCAGTAAGGACCTGTTTCTTAAAATATAAAAAAGGGTTAGGGATGTGGCTCAGGGGCTAAAGGCTTCCAAGTTCAATCCCCAGTACCAAAAATGGGGAATTTACTTTCATAATCTTGTCTAAGTAGAATATGATAAAACTCACTTTTCAATTTCAATAGGAATTATTTTAGTGAACTACAGGATCCTAGAATTCTTTCCCTTCATATAACTGTCCAAAAGATGCCTTTTAGCAAATCCAAGTCAAAAACAGATCCCTGACACCACTCTTAAAACATGTAAGGGTGGAAGACTCTCACCATGAAGTATTTCAGAGTAACATAGCCATGAACAGAGGAAAAATCTCCCCCTAATTCTTTGCTAAAAATTTAGGGCAGAAATGGCACTGTGTAAAATTGAAATGATCTTACCAAGTTGCTCAGGCTGGCCTCCAACTTGTGATACTATTGTCTTAGCCTCTGGAATTGTTAGAATTAGGCATGAGCCACCATGCCAAGCTTCGTTTTATTCATCACCTTTGACTTTTGAGATGGGTCTTTTGTTGCATAGGCTAGCCTCAAAATCATGTTCCTGTTTCAATCTCCCAAATAGCTACAATTGCAGACATCATGTCATACCTTTAAGAAACTCTTTCCTTTCATATTCAGTTCATTTCTTACCCTTGGAATGAGAATTTTAAATCTGAGGTATCTGGTCAACAAGTACAACTTGTTAATCAAAGATGAGTTCTATCATGCTTCTTCCTCTCCATGATAGGCACACAGCTCCCAAAAGAGATTCATTAAACCCAGTGGCAGGTGTTAAGCTTATATAACTTGACCTTTCCTTGGCAGGGGAGCTAGAAACACATGCTCCAGTAGAGTGAAGTAAACAACGTATTTCTATTGGGTCATATTATCCCCACTGTGCTTTTTTGGCTTTTACTAAACCATGACTCAGTGAGTATGAACCATAATGTATCCCAAACATATAAGCTTAAGGGTACAGAACAGCAGCAAAATATCTGTATAGCATGCTGAAGGCCCAGGATTCAATTCCCAGCACAAAACAAAGAACCAGAGTATTAGAACCACTTCAGGAACTCAATTCGAACAGGAAACAAGATTTCATTTTAAGCATCCATGTTGTTTTTCTGGCTTACCACCAGACAACCAGTGTAAATCACTAAAACCCCTATAACCTATTCGCCAATTTGAAATGGTTTCAAAGATTGCAGCATCAGGTCATTTACTTTTACTATTAACAAAGAGGAACAAGAAACAAAGCTAAAAAAAAAAAAAAAAGAAAACAAACAACCAACAACAACCCAGTTTATTAGAAAAGTCACTCACAAAATTGAATGATTACAGAGCTGCAAAGCAGCTAAAAACCAACTGCATGGCAGTGAGAATGAAGTACATTGACTCAGATAAAGGTTGTCCTCACAAGGATGTTCCTGCAGAAAGAAAAAGATTATCAGTATTTACATAAGCAGAGTAGAAAGATTCTATGACTGTATCTACTCATTATGATAACACTTAGTTGTTCTAATAATTCTGCTGACTACAAACAATCCAACATTATGAAATATTTTTGTTTTGATCTGAGGTGCAACATCTCATTCTTTGGAAATGGTAAGTGCTGATTGTTAAAACTTACCTTTAGCAATGAACTTGGACAGAAGTTTCTGGCCCTTTTTTTTTAATCGAGCTGATAAGCCTGTAGTAGCAGATTCCTCCTAGAAAAGTAAACAACCTTTTAGAACAAACTCTTTTCTGAGACCATGTCCCATCTTCAAGTTATACCTCCCACCTCCCATTAAACAGCCCACCCAACCTCCCACCATTTTGGGGAAAGGATTCTAGTCATTACTTTGAGCCACTGTTTTAAGGAAACGAGTGAAAGGAAGGTAATAAGTGAATAATTTATAGGGCAAAAATATACCTTCACAATAGAAATAATTTAATGTGCTCACTTCCTTCAATTGGGAGTCAACAAAGAGCAGGGTATTAAGAATTCATCTCCAGAAAAACCAATTGCAGCTTAACTGGACTAGTTTTGGCTCAATTTATTAAGGAGAATGCAACAGAAAACTGGATTTTAGATAACTAATGGATGTAAGTAAAATCTGTTCTTACCTACCAGCATAGCAATAAAACCTTTCCTCCTGGTTCTGACTGCTAGTCCTAAGAGTCAGGTGTGCCTTACTCTTGTCTGCCTCCTTTCTTGCGATGATCACTGAAACTTCACTCCCTCCTAGCTTTCATGGAGCGTGCCGTGGCCTGCCCCTGGCTTATCTGTACTCCACATACCACAAGTGTCTACTCTCAGCTGCAGAGTGTCTGAGCTCGGAGCCATTCGCGCTATACTTGCTAGCAGTTCCTAGTAGCTGAACATCTCCTGGAACTTTAAAGGCTTTGTCACGAATCCTGAGGTATCTGCAAACTCCCTTAATAGTTAAGGTTCCACCTGCTATTGCAAACTCAGCCAATATCATGGAACTATCATCCATGCTTCCCCACCCCCACCCCCTCCCACCCACCCCACCCAACCACCCCCCTCCTCCCCAAAACTTCCAAGTGATACACCCATGAGATGGAATATACAGTCCTATTGTATAAACAAATATCTATGCTACTAGGTACAATGGCACTGAAATTGAGAGGGTACCAAAGGGAAGGCTCAAAAGTATCTATGCACAAATAACAATTATTGGGTCTATTTGGAATTTCTACACAATTATCACCGTAGGATGATCGTGTTATCTTTGTGTTGAATTTAAAGGAAAACTGCAGTTAACACAAAATTACATAGAAAACATGGCTCCACATATTTCTAGTTTTACCCTCCAGGTAACTGGTTGATATTATATATAAACCTTTTTAGACCCACCCAAGACCACGACCCAGCAAAACTGCAGTTTTCCTTTAATACAAAAGCCTATTTTCATGTAAATTAAAATTCTTTTTATCAAATGTCTCCCAAACACTTCTAATCTGTGGCCTTGAGGGGTGGCACTAGCCAGCAACTGGTTTCTATTCTCTGGCAGAGCTTTGAACTTGCATTGTGATAGAAGCATTCAACATTTATGGGGTAGTGGGTAGGAAAAGTACAAATCTCTGCCAGTCCCAAATCCATACAGTTTTCATTCCATTCAAGAGAATTAAATCGTTTATTGATTACACATGATAATGGATGATACACAAGCTTCATTCCCATCTATTATTTATCTGGTACCATTATTCAATTTAGATATTGCATAGGATATGCCAACAATCATTTTTTTAACCAAATAATTCCATGACTGCTTGGGTGACCCTTTCAATGGTGAACTTCAGAAGGTCACAACTACACCAAGGTTTCTGAACCTGGCATCATCCTGAATGAATTCTAACTTCACACTGTTGGGGAAGTTTTACCAAGATGGCTTCAGAGTAGACTAACTTTACACAGCACATTTAAAAAAAGACACATTTATTCAGCGTCATGATCAGACTATTACATTTAGCAATCAACAGCATGGGTACAAAAAAAAAAAAAAAAGTCTACATTAAAACCCTTTGTTGGAATGCTTTACACTTTCCACAGAACAGAAACTAAAATATCCTGTTATACAATTAGTCACAAATACAGTCCTCGAGTTTTTTTTGCCCATACACATGAGTATTGTCTAAACCATGTCTTCTTTGTAGCAGCTAGGCCCTGCCACCACTGTGCTTGGCTGAGTTCACAAATCTGTTGTAACCTGTAGCTTCCCTGTCACTTCTCTGGCTCTCCTCTCCTGCTAAGCTTTGTTTCCTGTTGAACAATATGGAATAAAGTTGTTAATCTAAACATATTAAGACTCAAGGCTATAATCCAATAGCAAAGTTGTTTCCCACAAATTTTGCTGATCTGAATATTAACTTAACATCCACAATTTACTGCAATTATAATGTTAACTATGTTGCACTGCTCAGCTATATTAGGGTTACTGGGTTCATCAGCAATTATAAAAATTAAGTCAACATGTAAAAAAAATAAAAGGGTACTACTTACTTACCTGGCAGTATTAAAACCTTCTGCCACTGCCATAGCTACTGCTGCTGCTGGAACCGCCATAGCCACCTAAAAAATTTTTTTCATTTATATTTAGGAAATGTCAGTGAAATACCGATTTGAGGCAATGACACGTTCAAAGAAGGAACGGCCATTAAAGTGACCTTCACCTAGAGTGACAAAGGTGTGAGGAGGTCATGTTGAGTTTTCAAATTTGATTGCAAATTACTTACAATTGTTAAATTATCAGCTTTTCATTATTTACATATATACCACCTTCAAAACTGGTAGTCCTATGAGATCAATCAATATTACAAATATATAATACCTTGGTTTCGTGGTTTGGCAAAATATTGGCCTCCACCACCGTAAGGTCCAGAGCTTCTGCCTCCAAAGTTTCCACCCTTCATGGGTCCAAAATTTGATGACTGATTGTTGTAACTGCCAAAATCATTGTAGCTTCCACCACCTCCAAAATTGCTTCCTAGGAATGGAAAGAGGGACTTGTCTATTACTTGAGGAAGATGACTGATAGTGCCCAATTCTGCTTAGTGTTCAGAATAAAAAGAGGTTATATATTAGCTGCCTGCCTTCCTCCCAAACTGGTGGCTCCAAATCCTTATATTTTATCTGGGCAAGGTATTCAAAACCCATCATTCAACTCAACAGTTTTCCCCTAGTGGCATTTGCAAGCACTCTCCAGCCTTAAGGCCTTTCTTCCACATCCAAGGCCAGTGCAAATACAAGCTTCTTGGTTAAATCACCTAAGTACCTAAGGTCCCAATGTTGTTTCAAAACTAAGTGTCCTGCCATGGTACTGCATATCTAACTCAAATTTAAGACACCACTATACACATACCCATCTACTTATAAGGGAGTGAGGCGGCCCCAGCTTAAAGCTAGGAGGAGGTAGCACAGCAAGCTTGTTTTAAATGTACCATGCAGTGTACCACACAATGCTTTAAAAGCTCCAAATTCCAATACAGGCATAAACTCTAAAAGGCTAATCTAGCTATCACACCAAGTACTTGGATCACTGGATACCTACCACTACCACCGCCAAAGCCGCCTCCGCCTCCTCCGTTGTTATAGCTGTCATAGCTGCCACTCCCGCCATAGCCACTGCCCTGGTTTCCATAACCCTGTCCACCACTTCCATAGCCTCTGCTTCCTCCAGAGTAACCAGGGCCGCCTCCTCCTCCATAACCACCTACAAGAATACAATTCTTCTCAATAAGACAAAAGTATTCAACAATAAAAACCGGTGCAAATTTAATAGCTAAGGGCCTCCTTTACAGCATGCAAATTATGGGCCAAGTTGAGTTCGTCATGCACTAGGAGTTTTAGTTTCTACCATCCTATTCTAAAGGTATAGGTTGCCAGAAATTTTTACTTACACACACATTTCTCTAAAAACTTACCATCATTACCAAATCCATTGTAGCCATCCCCGCTGCCACCATATCCACCACCACCACGACTGCCACCAAAGCCACCTATAATAAAGATTTTATATATGAGGTGTATAATACGTTAATTGCACACTAAAGATTAACTTTTGGTTAGGGTCAAGCCAGAACCATGATTAAATAAAAATGTAGCTTTGGAAGTGTAGGCCAGTTGTAACTATTGTGGGTTGTAAAAAGGATGTGATGTAGAGCAATAGAATTATATGGTCACTATCAATTTTCACTAAGCCTTAAATAACAACACATACCACGACCACTGAAGTTCCCTCCACGACCGAAATTGTCATTTCCACCAAAACCACCTCCACGACCACCACCGAAGTTTCCAGAACCACTTCGACCTTAATAGAAAAAAAATTTTTACGTGTTAAACCACACATTGGCTCACAGTAACTCAGAATTACCTTTACATCACAATCAAGTAATAATAAATGTACCTCTTTGGCTAGATGAGGCACTAGCCATCTCTTGCTTTGACAGGGCTTTCCTCACTTCACAATTGTGGCCATTCACAGTATGGTATTTCTGAACTAAAAAAATTTAAAGATAAAATTCTGGTCTTAGATCGAGACTTCAAGTGGATCTTAAAACCCTCAGTAAATGTCAGCAATGTGTTACTTACTGACAATCTTATCCACAGAGTCATGGTCATCAAAAGTTACAAAAGCAAAGCCCCTTTTCTTTCCACTGCCTCGGTCAGTCATGATTTCAATAACTTCTATTTTCCCATACTGTTCAAAATAATCTCGTAGGTGATGTTCTTCAGTGTCTTCTTTAATGCCACCAACAAAGATCTTTTTCACAGTTAAGTGGGCCCCTGGTCTTTGAGAATCCTATCAGGAGGAAATTTACTTAAGTTACTTTACACAAGCAAGATCTATTCCCAAAAGGAGAACTTTAAAAAGCTTAGAAGACTCCCAAATCAGTAGCACACCTTCAAATGAATATTGGGGGAGGGGAAAAATCACTCACTTCTCGTGAGACAGCTCTCTTTGGTTCCACAACTCTACCATCCACTTTGTGTGGTCTTGCATTCATGGCTGCATCCACTTCCTCCACAGTGGCATAAGTGACAAACCCAAAGCCTCTGGAGCGCTTGGTGTTTGGATCTCTCATTACCTGCGAACAGTGTTAATTCACTTAATACACAGCCCAACTCTACAAAGTAATGTCATTTCTATTTTAAGGCCAAGAAGAAACTTTACACCAATCCTGTATACAAAGCCATTCAGTTTCCCACTACGGTAGATTTGAGATAGTTTTGTACACTAAAGAACAAAGGCAGTCCCTTTGCCACGTTATTTCTAATTATTACCTCTATTAACCACCTTCACAAAGCATTCTGACAAGATTAATATCAGGATAAGCCTAGGAAATCAACTAATTCCAACTAATTCTACTGCCTTTTGTCCCTTCCAAGTCTTACCACACAATCCGTGAGTGTTCCCCATTGCTCAAAATGGCTTCTCAGACTCTCATCAGTTGTTTCAAAGCTCAGCCCTCCGATGAATAGCTTCCGCAGCTGTTCGGGCTCTTTAGGGGACTAGAGTGTGGGGAAAACGCGTTTAAGTGGGGCTATAACACGGACGCTTCCAGTTAGGACAAACAAAACCAGACACCAACGTGCGTATAACTTATTGTTCCTTGAAACCCCAACAAACCACGTGCTTCTCTCCATCACTGAGGGTGGTGGTGGTGGTAGTGAGGGCTGGAGAGCACCAAGCGCATGCGCCCCTACTCCAGACGCACGCGCAACAAAAGGACTGTGCGAAGGGGTGCATCGTCAGTAAGATACGAATAGCTCTACGAAATTAGCCCATGCGACAAAGCAAAAACTGCCCGTATGCGTCTACGAGTTTTGACATTAGTAACGAGTCCGGCGTGATAACTAATAATTAGCGGACGGCGGCCTCATGGCGACGACGAGGACAACAAAATGGCGACCTCAACTTTGGGAGGAGTAGGCCCTGGCAGCGACCGAAGGATCTGCTGAAAGCGCTAGTGCAAGCCGCGAAACCACATAGCATCTCACCCAACTCAAAAGGGTCGAGAAAGAAAACTCAACTTTCGAACAGCGTCTAACTCACCTCTGATTTAGACATGACGGCAGCAGGAAGACAGACTTTAACGATGCTTTCTCGGCGGCGTCCACGGGCAGAAAGGAGTAAGCTAACGAACGTATCCACCAGCCTACCTTCAGCCTCGCCTTTTTATCCCGCCTCCTCGCTTTCGGCATTGGCAGACTCCGCCCCTCCAAGGCTCCGATTGGCTGTCTGAAATCACTTCCTCCTTCTATTGGTCTATGGTTCCGTACTGCTGTGAACGTCATCCGTTTGGGCGTTCTACGCAAGCCCCGCCCCCTTGAGTCATTGGTGCCTGAGCTACGTTACTCTTAACCAGTCTGATTGGCTAGCCCGCCAATCATTCATATTTGAATATGCCCAAGGTATGTAAACGCCTTTTTCGTCTTCCACACCCATATAATACATTCACCTCGCCTGGCAAAGCATAACTAATACTATAAATTAGATAAGTAGCTTGTAAAAACTTTTTTTTGCAGTCACTACTTACAGAGCGCATGTGTAGTAAAATGGCGAGTTTACGCAGGCGTATTATGAAGTTCCGCCTGCCGCTGGAACACGTGAAATGGCGGGCGGGAGTGGGCGGTGAACCTATGGCGCCTGCGTAGTGGCGGGAGTTGTGCCCTCTTTTGCGCAGGCGTTATGGGCGGAGAAAGGGTCCGGTTCCAGGATTGGTTGCGCAGGCGCAGGGAAGGATCCGTTTTGGCGGGCGGTTGGCGTTGCGCAGAAGGCGGCGGCAGCGGTGGCTTGTGGTTCGGCCCCACCACACAGGAACAGGGCAGACGTTAGTGTGAGTGATCACTCTCGATCCCGGGTAAGTGGAAGAGAGTCTTGTCTACTCATACGAGGTCTTGAACCGGCTCCATTTGGGCCCGTTATTGTGTGAAATGAATGGACCGCGGGGTGGGGGGGATAGTGAAAGGGCAGCGATGCATCGGACCAACCAATAAAAGAACAGGGGGCGGGATATTTTATCCTTGCAGGTTCTTTGGGGCTTTGCAGCCGAAGAATTTGACTGGCAAGTGTATAGGCCAATTGGGTCTGCCTTGAGCTGCCGAATGACCGGCGCTTGGGCCATCGGAATGTGGGAGGCGGGTTTTTCCCTCCTGAGCAGCGTCTTACTGAGCCAATGAGAACGAAGCGCGCGGTAGGTTGGCCTTCTCCAAGAGGCAGCGGTTTGACTCCAATGGGGAGCGCGGGAGTCGGGCAGTTAAATGGATGGACCGAGTCCGGAGCCAGTAGGTGAACGGGTACTCCAAGAGAGGGAGTTATCTTAGACTAGGAATTGTTACTTGGATTTCAATACCTGTGATGGTGCGTGGGAATGAACATTTTATCCATAGTGACTAACCTAATGAAATCTTCAGGTTTCCATCCCATACACCTTTTGGGGAAAATGTTTTCCCCACCTCGGGACATCATATATCTACCACTTTAGTTTTAGGGAAAACGAGGAGTTTTAGACTTATTTGCTTGTTTAGAAGACCGTTAAGATGGTAGAACAAATAGGATAAATCTTCACGTATCTTTATGGAATGCATCCAAGAAAAATCTACATCATAATCATATTTCCACGGACATATAGGTACGTCTGTAGGTCCAGAGAGAGTTTTGAAAGACTACATATTTGGATATGACACAATGGGATCGAGGCAGATGGGATTTCTAATGTTTAAATCTTTTCAGAGATAATTTGTTATAAAATTGAATAAAAAATGATAATTTGTCATTAAAAGTAAATAAATTTTTTTGTTGTTGTTTCCAGTCATCACGTATTTCTCATTACCTCCTTTCTCTTTAATTATGTATGTTCTGGGTGCTTTTATCTTTGGTCTCTTCCACTGAGGAACTTTCCTTACATAAATGTATATTTGTTTACACCATTAAAGATTTCCCAAGCCCCTCTTTCCTGCTGTTCTTTGAGAATGTCTGGTTTGGGGTGAAAAAGAAGTTGCTTAAGGAGGGTATCGGGGAGGGAAGAACCACCCATCACCTGGATCACCATTCATTGCCTTCTGGTTAGGTTTTCTTCTTCTGTTGGTAATGCCCACTGTATTTATTCTAGGGCTTTTTAAATTTTTTTATTATTATTATTTTTTTTTGTACTGGGTTTTGAACCCAGCCAGAGGCAGTTTACTACTAAGCTATGTTCCCAGTCCTTTTTATTTTGAAATAAGATCTTGCTGACCATCATGTATAACAAGTTAGAATAAATAAATAATTTAATAAGTAAAGAAAAAGATCTTGCTGAGTCGCTGAGGGTCTCTGCTAAATTGTTGAGACTGGCCTCTGACTTGCAAGTATTCTGATTGTAGGCCTGAGGTATCTACCCTGGCTGTGTCAATTTTAATACTTCATTGTTCACTGGTTAATGGTAGAGTCAAAGGGAAAATATTTAAATGGCCGATAAAATCAACTATATATGAAATAAATTTAGGATTAGAGACCTTTGGGGTTTTTAAAAAATATTTTATTTATTATAAAATTTTAAAAAATATTTATTTTTTAGTTGTAGGTGGACACAATATCCTTATTTCATTTTTATGTGGTGCTGAGGTTTGAACCCAATGCCTCACGTGTGCTAGAAGAGCACTCTACCACTGAGCCACAGCCCTGAGTCCTTTACAGTTTTGTACAAAAAACATAATTCCAGTGCAGCTTATAATGAACAGAGGAGTGATTTCCATGTTAACTGGTGCTTGCAAAGGGATAACATATTATCAGTTATACACCTATTTATAGGTTATGTTAATGATGCAGTTGCTGAGCTTCTAAGAACTAAAGTGATAATGGATTAAGGATATTTATCATTGGTGTATTTAGGTTTGAAAGAAATACCAAGAAAGAACAATAAAGAAAAATCTAATCATGGTCTAAAATGACCAATGCCAGAGTTTATATTTATATTTTGAAAATATTTTATATTTTCAAAATATTTTACCAGTTGGAAATTAGGAAAGCTGGAGATGATGGGTGAGGTGTTGAGGGAGTGACCTTTGGTAAGGGAGCACTACATTTTACCTGATTTAAGTGATTTGGACATTCCTGGAATTCTTTTGGGCCAGAGTCTCAAATTCTCCTTTGACCTTGATTTAGTGAGAAATAGATTTTACACTGGTCCTGTATACATATTGAAACATGTTTCACCAGACAAAAGTGCAAAGAACACTAGCACTTTCTCATCTACAATGTATTTCATTTTTTAAAAAACCAGGTCAGTTTCCACTGAACTGATTTCACAACTGTTATAAACCCACAGTTTTTTTGGGGAGGGGTGTGGGGAGAGCCCTGCTCAGAGGAATGGGCAACCAGATCATAGCACCTTAGATTATTCTGAGTGAATTCATTTCATCTCTAGTTTCAGCTACCTGAATTTATAAGCAGATTCATTGGTGGTCTCTTATATGGTGTTTTTACATGTATTTTAGCTTTGTGAATTGAGCATTTCTAGTTGTTGTGCAAGTAAAAATTGCTTGTTTTATTATGAAGTGTATTCTAATGGGATTGTAGGTTTGATGAATATTTCTCTGTGGTGGGGGTATTTTAATAGATAATTTTCATTGAAATTCTCAAGACTATCACATGAAAAATCCTAACTAGACTTATCCTTTGCCGTGGAAAATCTGGTAGGGTTGTTAACTTAAAACCACCCCACAGTAATACAAAGTGTTGGGCCTCCATTAACAAAAGTTAAAGCACTTGCACTTCGAGTTTGGAGGGCTACTAATGCATCTAAACCTAAAAGGGTTATTTACTAAAAGATGTAACTGAAGATGTTACATCTTCACTGGTCTGTATAAAAAAAATAAGTAGAAGACTTTCCTATAGGTGGTACAGAATTTGCCATCCTCTTGTCTTAGTCTCCGGAGTTGCTAGGATCACATGTTTGTGCCACTACCCATGTCCAGCTATATCAGAGTCTTAGGTAAGCAGGATGGTAATTGGGAGGGAGAGAGAAAGAGTATATAAGTCTGAAGTGACCAGATATTTTCTTTAAATGTCTAAGATAATTTTGTAGACTTTTCAGAGCCTTTAATAATACTTTAGAAAAGAGAATGGTTTGTGATTCAGGATGCAAAGTTTCTGAGGAAGACTAATGGGTGTTTATTTTTGGTTTTGGGGATTTAAACCCACCAGAACCTCTTGCATGCTGAGCCAGTACTGTCGCCCCACCCCCACCTCTTTTTAATTTTTAAGGCAAATTAGTAACCACAGCATAATTTTCATCTTTTTAAAAATATTTTTAGTTGTCAATGGACCTTTATTTTATTTATATGTGGTAACAAGATTTGAACCCAGTGCTTCACCCATGCTAGGCAAGTGCTCTACCACTGAGCCACAATCCCAGTCCCCTAATTTTCATATTTTATTGGAATCACTCATTTAATAAGTTCACCTGGTAGAGAATGTTGAGCTTTCATTTTGTTCTTTTTCTTGGTCTTTTTTTATTTTCAGTTACCTGAAATCAGGCCTAAAGCTGTGCTATGGATATTGATTTTAAAAGCAGAATATTAATGTGGTTATTGTTTGATTCAATATAGGTATTTACATATTATTATTCATGAACTTGGACTCTGGGCAGTCATCTTTTGTCACTAACATAAACTTTGATTTTCCTTTCTTGCTCATAGAGGGTGACTTTAACTGATCATTGTACTAATAGGAAGAAGTCCAGGTCGTCCTGAGAAGAGTTGGCTTATACAGAGTTCAAGATGCACATTTGTTGGATTTCTGTAAGCCATTTGATGCCACATATTCATTTCTGATGACAACTTTACACTTGTGCTGGCAGAACACCCACAGTGACAACTGCTGTCTATGTTTAGTCTGTCCAAGACCTCAACCAGCTAGTATGTTTGTGGAAAAACCTACACTGTTCTTGTTAGCAGCTATGTAAATATTAGACCTCTCTCTGAGTTTATCTTCTCAGGTCTGCCAATTTATTTTTGGGCAGTTTAGATCCTGTGATTGCCTCAATTTACCCTTTGAAATGAGGGATTAAAGGTTTTAGTTATCCTTTGGGTTAAGTGAAGCACAATTCTTTTTGAATCGGTACACGGTTTTATATATGTCCAGTTTATGATGGATGTGTGTGTTGGGGAATGAACCAGCGCTTTGAGTACATGCTCTTACTTCCGAGTTACACTTCAGGTTCCTAGCCCCAATTTATGGTGGTGCCTCCCCCCCACACCGCCCCGCGGCCCCAGTTCCTCACACATGTTGGCAAGCATTCTCCCACTAAACTGCATGCATAGCCTCCTGGTTTGTGATTTCAAAAATTTTACTTCCACTGTTTATTTGCTTCCTGTGGTTCGTACAACATCCTAGCACAGACTTGGTAGCTTAAAACAACAGGAATTTAGCTGAGCACCGTGGCACTGGCCTGTAATCCTAGCTACTCTGGAGACTGAGGCAGGAGGATCACAAGTTTCAGGCCAACTTTGGCAAATTAGTGAGACCTTGACTCAAAGTAAAATATAGAAAGGGTTAGGGATGTAGTAGCTCTAAAAAGAAAAAAGTATAGGGATACAGGTCTATGGTAGGGGGCCCCTGGGATCAATTTTAGTACCACAAAAAATCCTAAACAACAAAAAACCAGGAATTCTCATAATTCTAGAGGCCATAAGTCTGTAGTCAAGGCTTTGAGTCCCTTGTGGAGGCTCCAAGGGATAGTGTCTGTTCCTTGCCTCTTTCAGTTTCTGGTGGTAATTACCATTCCTTGACTTTGGGCAGTTTAGATCCTGTGGTGTAAGGGACTAACTAGGCCATTTCCCTCTGCTCTTTAAAGGATACATGTGAGATTGCATTTAAGGC